CCGAAGGTTTTGGTAACAGACCGTGAAATGGCGTTGATGGATGTTGTGGAAGTTGTGTTTCCAATCCAAACTCATATGTTGTGTTTGTTCTATATTCAAAAAATGTTTGTATGAAATGTAAAGAGTATGTCAAGTCAAATCATGTAGGCATGGACATGTGATAACACCAAAACACACTGCATATTTGACTCGATTTGCACATGTTTTATCATTGTTTTATTATTATCTTTAGTGTTATAATGGTGTTTTATCTGTTTTTTAGGTATTTGACCATATGAGAGACCTACACGAAGAAAGTAAATTGGATAGAAAATAGAGAAAAATGAAGAAATTGCATTCAAGGCGTTTAGCATGGCATTTGCCATGGATAAAGTCATAAGAAGAATGACGTGTCCCACTCACTAACATTCAAAAGACCAAGTTTTCCCCATTTTAGGAAGGTGGTGTTCTCCACAAGGGGATGGTGTTCGCCATCCTTTGTACTTTTCATACGGTTGGAAAATGGGCTTGGGCTTGGTCTCCACTTCCTCCACTCCTCCCTACATCTTCTCACGCGAAACCAGCAGCTACCACTTGACATTTTAGGTTTCCTAAGAGTTATAAATAGTAGTTACTTTTAATTTTTTTCTTCCATCCAATCTTAGCACAATCTTAAGCACTATATTTATCGATTAAAGTTATATCTCGTCACATCAGGGGGTTATAGCACCATTGAGCATTGAGTTTATATTGAGTTTGAATCATTTACTTTGTTGAAGTTTAATCTTGCTGCCATTTGCATTTCTTTTCAAGCTTTCTAGCAATCTACATTATACCAGATTCAAGTCTCCGATTGGAGCAGGTTTTATTTAATCATATTGCTTTTATTATATTGTCTCTTTATTTATTTTCTTGTTTTTGTTTTACTTCAATTCTTTATATGTATTCTTATTTGATATGCTTATTATGTTTAATTTCATGTTAAATTCAATTACTTTATTATTTGTTATAACCATGTCCGGCTAAATCTAAAGTGTTGGAATGTGAGGATCGTCGATTCGACGATACTTTAACTATTGTTCTTTTAGAAATACTTATGGAGATGTTTTGATTTTATACAATTTTTCTAAGCTTCATTTGATCGGTTACTACGAAAGTAGAACTCTAAATATGTCGAGTAAGATAGAAAGTCGTCTGATACTTAAGATTTAAGTTGTTTAGTTTTTTATTAACAAACATCGTGAAAGCATTTTATTAATTGATTAGGAAGGTTTGCTATTTTCAGAAAGTGATTTTAAAACTATTTTCTGACGCATTTATAATTTTAAGATCTGGTTGTTCGAGCGAAAGCCGAGAACCCTTTAAAGTCTAATTTTCCAATCAAAACTACTTTTTGTTTGAGCAAAAGAAACTAATTTCTAAAAAAGGTATTTACTTCTTTAAAGAAAAACGCAATCTGGGAATGTGAGAACTCTGGTATAAATTAGAGAGTAAAATCCAGTTTCTATTACGCGACAACGACTGTTTCTTTTTAATTAATTCTTTTTTCAAAGGAGAAAACGGTGTCCCATATGTAGTTTTAGGAACAATAAGAGTATTGAGGAATTGATGAGATCTGCATTTCAGCATTGCACATCTGAATTAATTCAAGTTTATTTTATTTTTATTTCACAATCTAAACACTTATTTTAATCACCTTAAATAAATATCGTAACAATAAAAAATGATATATTGACCATTAGGTCCCTGTGGGTTCGACAACCTTTTATATTACTCTGATAGACTCTGTATACTCGCGGAAATCACCCATCAAGTTTTTGGCATCGTTGTAGGATATCAATTTCGTCAAATATCATAACCTTGTTGTTACACTGTCTAGATTAAGGCACCCTTTTTGATAAATGTGAAGAACTCGTAGTACCGGAACCTTAGAAGATCCAATAGAAGAACAAGAGAGATACGCACGTGCACGAATTTTGCTCTAACGAATCAGGAGAGCAATGGCGGAAGAAAATGATCGCAATCCACTTAAGGACTTTGCCATACCTTATATTGAAAAAACTCATTCAAGTATTGTTAACTCTTTTCATTTTTTGTTCTTTTAATAATTTATGTTTTGTTGGGCCTCAACCAAAGCTGACCATAAGCCCAATTCCCTTTCCATTTCGTGCACACCCCCTCCCTTTACTTATACTGCCCAACCAGTTAGCTTCTGGGCTCAGAGCATCAGGCTCAAATCTCTCTCACTAGCACACACCCCTTGTTTTTGTTACGCCACAAAACAACAAACTCTAATGGGCCTTGTGCCTCACTTGCCTCCAGCCCATTTATACTTTTTATTTTATTTTATTATCTTTCTGATTTCAAAAACAAACTGTGAGCCTAACCATTTTTACTAACACCCTCCATTTCCTAAATAACATGCAGGCCCATTTTTTTTATTTATTCTTTTGTTTCTGTTGGGCCTTAACTTTTTTAAAACGGTTTTCACTCTCTCACACCTATTTTCTTTTCTTAAACCCCTTGGCATTTAATTTATATTTTATATTTTATTTTATTTTATTTTTTTTATTTTTTTATTTTTTTATTTTTTTATTTTTTTATTAATCAAAAATATATTATATTTATTATTTAGATATTTAGTTTATTTCTATTTCATTTCTTTTAAAACAAAAGACCAAAAAATATTTTCTTAACAAATTTCTTTTCTTAATTAATTTAATCTAGACTTAGCTTTATTTTGATTTTCCTTGCTAATTTAATTAACTTAGAATTTAGGAATTTTAATTAATCTCTTTTTATTAAGTTTAAATAGGTTAACTTTAAAACCCTTTCATAAAAAACCCTAAAAAATTGTTTTTTTAATTAATTTAATTTCTTTAAGTTTAATTTTATTAAATCAACTTAGATTAATTAATTATTTTCTTTCTTTTTATTAGATTAATTAGGTTAATATTAAACCTTTTATAAACATAAAAAACAATTCTTTTCTTTTACATTATCTTTATATTCTTGTACATTTTATTTGGCACTATTCAATTTGGTTGTAATAATAATTAGAACTTTATTGTTTTCATTCTCATTTGTAATTTGTACCCTCATCCCCTAAATGATGTAATAGTGTAGAACTTTAAAATTCCATAATTTATCGCTTTCAATATTATTGCTAGTAATTAGGGTTTGTATGGCAAGACTTAAAATCACGGGTAAATAACCCTAAATTCTAGAATAAAAATGCATGAAAACAATACACCTTGCACTTGTTGCCTTAGAATAAAACAGTAATGTCCCTTGAACGTGGAGGATACTTTAGCAAAGACCCTCAATTATAAGATCGTAGTCCCTCGACGACCCTTCGATGTTGCCTACGGTAAACGATCTTAAACCCTTACAACAAATTGCTAAGGTATCCTGCAATGTTGCCTTCTATAACTATACGACGACCCACGCTCGTCCCTTCACATCCAATGATAAGTTTGCTTACTAACTAATGGTAAGACAATACTGTTTAAAGGAGGAGGAAAAGAACAAAGACTTTTTGAGTAGGTAGAACGTTCGTAGTTGCTTGCTCATAAATATTTTAAACAAAACATCTTTCAAAACACACCAACACTTTCCATGAAATATTTTCAAAAGTCAACACTTTGTATACATTTTCGTCGAAACGAGAATCATTACAAAGTTCACCTAAACAAAGGCACTTTTCAAAAAATACTTTCAAAAATAAATCACAAGCACATTTACAAAGCATTTCAAAGTGCGCTAGCAACTAAGAGCCTGTAGATAACTACAGATGAAAATGGTGCTAACACCTTCCCTTTTCATAACCTATCCCCCGAACTCAAGAAAATTCTCAAGAGGTCTTTCCTGTTCTTTTCACCCTTTCCTTTATTGAATAAAAGAAAAGTCAGTGGCGACTCTTGCTATCCGCAACAATTGCGATAAAAAACAAAACACCCAAGTCAGTTCTCTCACCGTATTACAGACCTCTTATATATGTCCATTAAGGATCACACAATTCACTTTGCACCATTAACAACTGAGATTTTATCAAAGATCGTGCAAAGCAGTCAAGTACTATAAAAAGAAGAAAGTGTGATCGCTAGCTAGCGTGGAGACATGAGTCAGCTATTCCAAATAAAATATTACATATTATAAGACAACAGTGTTTCCAATTAAGGCAATATACCATCAAAGACTTTCACCTCTCTAGATTAAACAACAAAGACTTTCACCTCTCTGGATTAAACAACTGAACTCGAACATGTATGACGAACCCTTGTCCTACAAAATAGAAACAACGAACCCTTGTCCTACAAAATAGAAACAATAATTTAAAGGACAATTAATTCTTTGTCGTCCATAAAACCAAAAACAAAAGATCCAATAATAAAATCTAAAACAAAAAGTTTCATAAAATATAAATAATTGAAGAAATACTAGTATTTTCAAATATATGTTCCATAGTTCTCAAATTTTTAAAATGAAATATGTGAGTTTCATTGTTAACAAAAATATATTTAAAACAATCAAATACATTAAAAGTTTGTTTTTTTGACTAGACAAATATACTTATTTTTTTATTCTACAAGACAAATTCTTGGAAAGTAACCCGACCCTACCTCACCCCACCCATATAATTTAATATATTAACCACACCTTAAAAAAATACACACAACAAAGAAAAAATGATTTACTCTTTTATTTAATCAATTTAAATATTTTTGGTGATAACAACTAATGAATTAATTAATGACAACGAATAAAGAACAAAAATATTCAAAAATATATATATGTACTATATATACACTCAATTTCAATCAAACAATTAATGTTAGGAAACTTCGTGGAAGCTACACTCGAGAAAAGAATGGACCTGCTACTCATGCCTTCACTGCACCCATTTAACCCCTTCACCTTCCTCTCACTTTCCCCTCACAACACAATTCTCCTTCTTCTTGTCCCTCTTCTCTCTTTCTTCTCCATTCCATCCATTCTTTTCATTTTCCATCTCAATTCCAATGAAGTTCATTAACCCTAAAAATCTCTCTCCCAAACACCTTTTCCGTTCTAAGAAGGAAAAATCCTCCGTATCAAGATCCGACCCGCCTTCTTTCGGGTCAGCTTCTTCCTCCGACGAATCCACTCATAAAGCCGTCACCGGCGGCTCTCAAACACCTACCAGCGTCCTTCCGGAAGAAGCGTCATCCAGCTCGTGGTCCGACGTCACCGTCGAAGTCCAATTGGAGCTCGCTCAGGCGTTCCAGTTAATCGACCGGGACAACGACGGAGTCGTTTCGCGGCAAGAACTCGAAGCGGTCCTCACACGCCTAGGAGGGCAGGCGCGTCCACCTACCTCCGAGGAGATTGAGATGATGTTAAGCGAAGTTGATAGCGATGGTAGGGGATGCATAAGCGTGGAATCGATCATGAACCGGATCGGATCCGGTCCCGTTTCGGGTAACTCGAACCCGGAGGAGGAACTGAGGGAAGCGTTTGAGGTATTTGATACGGATCGGGATGGGAGAATCTCGGCGGAGGAGTTGTTGAGGGTTTTTAGAGCGATTGGGGATGAACGGTGTACGTTAGAGGAGTGCCGGCGTATGATAGCGGGTGTTGATAAAAACAGAGACGGGTTTGTCTGTTTCGAGGAGTTTTCGTGTATGATGGAGATGCAACGGTGATGATGATGTGATTGTGATTGTGATTGTGATGTTATCTGATACCATGTGATCATCATGATCATGAGATACACAATAATAATAACAGTATAATATAAATATAATTATTAAATGAAAAAAAACAATTTCTTTGATTATCTAGTACTATGTTGTTGTTCTCAGTCTGTTTTTTTTTTTTGCTTTTGATGTAAATTCTTTTGTTGCTGTAAACCACTTTTTGGTCTTAAAATTGTAAGATTATGAAAAGTTGGAATTAAATGTAAGAAATATTAAATTGTTCTTTAAAATTATTTAATGTTAGTTACTAGTTTGTTTACTTTTAATTTAGGAATAAGGGGAAAAAAAGAAAACGCGTTCTGAAAGGGAAGGGTGTTTGGTTTGGACAATAATTCAATTGGTCGGTTGTGATGGGAAGATTCCTGGAAATGGAGTATATCGAATTGGTACAACCTTTGCATCTGAACTAGAACGGTCGTCTTCGATTTGGGTGGTAGATTCCAATGTTTGATTATAATGATTGAAATTGGAATTTTACGGAATCCTTTTTATTTTTTATTAGAAAAATAAAACGTAAAGAAAACTCTCTGAATGACAACAAAACGGAAATTTAACTGCAAAATAAACGCCCCTAAACTCTTCACAAACATTTCAATAAACAGAAGAGAAAGAGAGGAATTAATTGAGCGGTTTTGAATGACAAATTATATTTATACTAATATTATAAAAATATTAATAAATCCAAATTATATATATATATATATATATATATATATATATATATATATATATATATATATATATATATATATATATATAATCGATTTTGAAAAATCAATTCGAAATTCAATTTGAATTGAATAATTTTCACAAAATAACATTTAAATATATTTAATAAATTTTAATATTTTATGATTTTTAATTTTTTTTAATCAATTTACAATTTTTATTTATGTTGATTTAGATTTGAACAGTTGTAAAATTGAGCAAATCGTTGAATTGTTTAGGATTGGTAGTTTTTTTAAAATAAGGGATATATTTGGGAAACTTAATTGACTTTTTTTACGATTGGATTTGTTTAGGATTATAGTCTAAAATTTTTTGTCACCTCCACCTTGACTTGACACCCCACTTTTTTTTAATGATAAATATATACTTTGTATTTATTATTAAAAAAATTATATTCTCTAAAAAAATTTACTAAACGGGTAAAAATAAAAAATGAGGTAGTTTATTTACAAATTTTTTGCAACAGGAGAATTTTATGAATTTTTATCAGAATTTTGAAAATCTGATATAAGTTTTTACCTATTTTTTTTGAAAAATTCAAATTTTTTTTGAAGTTTTATCGGATTTTTTAGAAAATTTTGAAATTCTCTTGACGTTTTATCGGATTTTTTTTTGGAAAAATCCACAACTTTGTGGTTTGTAGTTTTGTTCATAGGTTTCAAAAAGTTCGGTGCATTTTTATTTGATATTTCAATATATTCTGTAAACTTAGAAAAGTAACAGAGTTTTTGAAAAGTTCAGTATATCAGATTTTTCGCATAAACGAAAAAAAAATCGGGTGGTTCAATATGCTTCATTTGTGCGGTCTAGATTCTGATGGTTCCACTGCAGTTTTTCATCACTGAAGTTGTATGATTGACTTGTTTAACTTTTAAGTTGTCAAAAATTATTAGGCTTAAGATATCTTTGACATTGATGGTTTATTTTGTATATGTTGTAAATTACAAATATTTTGCTTTTGAGTTGATGTTTTGGCATGGACACAATCTGTTGATAAACAACATGTATTATTGTTACAGGACACCACTTATTGGGCATTTTGATACAAGTAAGTCGGTCTTTTTACTCGAAACCAAAGACTATAATACCATTTATTGGGGGAGTTCATTAGGGAGCATTGATACATAGTGTAGGACTAGACACCTTTATGAGAGACATACCACTTGTTCACAAAATCTTAAGGTGATAGGTGAGTGGATTCTCCCACTTATAAATGTTCAAGTCATCACATTCATATCCAATGTAGGACTATTTCCCCACTTACCGACACTTGCATTATTATTCTAACACTCTCTCAAGTGTGAGTTCACAATGCTCCCCCACACTTGTATTGTCGTTGACACCTTTCAACTGGACACTCTTTACCCACATGTGGAATGCTTACCCTTGCTCATATGGGGTACTTTTCGATACAAGTAAGTCAATCCCTTCACTCGAAACCAAAAGTTCTGATACCATTTGTTAGGGGAATTCACTAGGGAGCATTGATACATAATGTATGACTAGACACCATTGTGAGAGACACACCACTTGTCCACCTAAAATCTTAAGGTGATAGGTGAGTGAATTCTCCCACTTATAAATGTTCAAGTCACCAAATTCCTATCTAATGTGGGACTATTTCCCCGTTTTTGCATTATTATTCTAACATTTCATTTATGGTAAGATCTATGCTAAGTGGAAGCGGTTTGGATATTACGGTGGATTTCACAATCATATACTAGATATGGACTAAGATGGCCATGGTGTATTAGGTTGTTTAAAAGATAATGGAAGAAAGTTTATGAACGACATGACCAAATGCAATATCGCTCCCATGTACATAATTGCTGCTTTGAAAGATAGAGATTCAGAAAACCTGGCGAATGTTACATATGTATATAAGACAAGATATACATACAAGATGAGCAAGATAGATCTGTTAATTGAAATGCAACACCTGTCGAATCTTATTCATGAGGAGAAATACATGTACTGGAACAGAAACAAGGATGCTTCAAATGTTGTTGTTGATATCTTTTGGATGCTCCTGATTCAGTGAAGTTGTTGAACATGTTTAATTTGGTGTTGATTCTTTTATTGTACATACAAAACAAACATGTATTACATGAACCAATTGCTTTTATTCTCGAAATCTTAGCCACGTTTCATTGGTCCATATCAGATTATGAAGAGAGTAGGAGAAATGGCCTACAGAGTTGCATTGTTATCGTTTCTTTCAAATCTTCATGGTGTATTTCATGTGTCTTAGTTAAGGAAGTATATTCTTGATCCATCTCATGTGATTCAAGTGGATGATGTGCAAGTTAGAGAGAATTTGACCGTTGAGACATATCCCTTGAGAGTAGAGGATCGAGAGGTGAAACACTTGAAAGGCAAGGAGATTGTGTTGGTTAAGATAGTGTGGGGGGAACCTGCAAGTGAAAGCATTATGTGAGAGTTGGAGATCCAGATGAAGGAGTCGTATCCAACTTTGTTTCCTTCAGGTAATTTTTTAGGGCGGAAATTATTTAAGTGGAGAGAGGTGTAACACACTATTTTTCATAATTATTTAATCGAGTACACATTTTTTTCATTTATTTGATTGGTGATTTATTTGTTCATGTTAGTGATATTATGTGGTAGATGGTGAAGTGTTGGTGAGAGTTAAGAGTTGGTGGAAAATTAGTTAGATTCTAATTAGTTTAATTGGAGTGGAATACTTAGAATTATAAGATTAAATAATTGGAAATAAATAATGAAATAATATAGGTTGGTAGAAATTAATTATTAACTTAATTAAAAAATATGAGTTAGTAGAGGAATAATGGCTAATGTGGGAAATGTGAAGAATAATAAGGGTAATAGTGGAATTACCTAAATAGGTGGAATTAAGTTTTATTATAAATAAAAAAGGAAGAGAAGTAAGAAAAGTTACAATACATGGAATTGGAAGTTGGGAGAAAAAATCGAGGCTAGGGCTTGAAGAAGGAGAAGACTTAATTCTTGCTAGGCTTACTTTCTTGCTGGAAAATTAAGGTAGGGGGAGATTGCTCTTGTATAAGTGTATAGTATGATCGGGTAGAGATGGGTCCTCAACTTTCAATAGGACTTGTGTAAATCTATCATGATTTGTTGTGGTTATATGTCAATTTGAACTTTGATAATTGCTTGTGGTAATAATTCTATTTTCATGGATGGATTTGTATTAATTGATTCTTGTAATTATATATTGTGTTTTTTTTATTGTTTCTCCATGATTGTGTTCTTGAAGCTTTTAAAAATATTAAACTTGAAAATTTTGTTAATTGGTGTATATGATGTGGTAATAATGGATTAACTGATGTATAAAGTTAGATTTTTGAAATAAGATGTTTTAGTATGTTAAGGTGTGTTTGAGTAGGGTTTAAAAGTGATTAAAAGTTACTGAAATGTGAATAAAATGGGAATTTTTGGAAAAGTTACAAGTGTCCATTGATTAACACCTTGGACAAATCGATTGATCCCTTTTGAAATTAGAAAAAATAGAAATAGAAACTTTAGAGCAAATGATTGGCTTTAAGGAACAATAGATTGGTTCCTTTTTCAAAACAACAAAGTTTTGGACAACAACTTTGGAACAATCGGTTAGCCCATGTATGTAATCAACTATTTCATGTAAAATTTGAATTTTTGAGTAAAATACAAGGAATAATTGATTGTCCCATATTTGTAATCGATTATTCCAAGCTTGTACGTGAAAAATGAGTGAAACAGAAGGTTAACAATAATTGATTGGTTCACTTGTTGTTTTGACCATAACTTGAGCTAATGACTCCAAATGAGGCACAGTTTGAAGCGTTGGAAAGCTAACGTGAAGAACTATCCCATGGTGATGTTTTAGGAGTTTAATCATTTATGTATGATAAATGGATATGCAATCGTATGAATATGTATGTTGTGTCGCTATGTTACTGTAAAGGTGAAATAATGATGGACTAATTATTTATTATTGAGGTGTTGATTATTTAATATATATATATATATATATATATATATATATATATATATATATATATATATATATATATATATATTGATGGTGTATGATAGACATGATATGTACTTATGAATGGTGATATTGTTGGTGAATGTTGCATTTAAATTATGTGCATATTAATTGATATAATGATGTTGTTAGTGATGTGCACGATCATAAAAGGGACCAATTGTGCATATGTCTAGTTGCATGTCATGGT